TTTGAAGCAGCTGAAGGGGTAACCTGGAAGAGACCTAAGGTCAGACTTGCGGTCCCCCTGTTTTGAGACATGGGCATGAATTTTAATTATCCACCCTCTGGTGGACATTGTAGGTGTTTTTTAATGTTCGCCAACCACTTTCCAGGGGGTTCTTGAACAATAATTCGTGTTGCCACATACTCCTTTTTCTTCAACGCCACTCGTTTTCCCGACGCAAATTGTTCCGGGGCGACCGTCGGGCTCGCTCGCTCGCGCTCTTTTGTTTGGGGCGTCAGGGCCAGCGGTCTACAGGCAGCGGGCCAGCGGCTTTGCAAAGTTGGGCTTTTGATGTTGGAGATGGCGGGGGTTCGATTTTTTTTTGATCGCGGATTTTGATGTTGAAGTGGAGCCAATGGGCGTCGAGGTAGGTGTTTGATGGTTTTTTCTTTTCCGAGACGATGGCCCCGGAGTTGTTTTCTCCAAAACCCGTTTCCGGTTTTGTTTGGACATGGAATTTGGTCCAATGCTGGGTTGATGAAGGACATAAATGAACAATTGTGAGTTTTCAAATGATGCCGATGCCCCGCAAGACCAAATAAAAGCACCCAGGATCTGCCCCACCCGTTTTCAACGACCCAATCAAGGAATTGGAATCCTTTGGTGACATGCCTTCCAAAATGGTGTGGTGGACGTAGCTCCCGATGTATTTCTGTCCACCTAAGCGTCCACTAGCAAACCAAAGCCCCCCCCCCCCCCCCCCCCCCACCCTTCCGTCCTTCCCTTCCTTCTTCCTTCCCTCCTGCCTCTCTCTCGCTTGCTCTCTCTCTCTCTCTCTCTCTCTCTCTCTCTCTCTCTCTCTCTCTCTCTCTCTCTCTGTCTCTTTCACTCTCTTTCTCTTTTTCCCTCTTTTTTCCCATGTTCCGTTCCAGGTCACCGTGCCTCATGGTTGAAAAGTGCGAGAAGTCATCCCTGTCTCTCTTTCTTTCTTTCTTTCTTTCTTTCTTTCTTTCTTTCTTTCTTTCTTTCTCTCTTTCTCTCTTTCTCTCTTTCTCTCTTTCTCTCTTTCTCTCTTTCTCTCTTTCTCTCTTTCTCTCTTTCTCTCTTTCTCTCTTTCTCTCTTTCTCTCTTTCTTTCTTTCTCTCTTAGATTCTTATTTTTTGATTTGTTAAGCCCTTTCCCGCCATGCTCACGCCCTTCGGCCACCCCTTCGAGCCCTTCCTGGGGCGGCCAAGCGTTCAACCGCTCACTTGCAACCAACGCCCACCCTTTTCCCCCATTTTGGCCATGACTTCCATGGCCAAACATCCAAAAGATGATCACTTCTGTTCATTTTTACTGGGGGGTCTGCAAAAAACCACGTTTGTTTTGCTACCATACCCAAAGAGTAGAGATGTTTTGCTTCCCCGGAAACAAGGCGCACCAGCGCCTGGTGGTTTAAACCACTGCCCATGCTCTGTGCACGTCTTTGGCCGCCAAAGATTCGCGCTGGCCGCCAAGCGCCCATCCGAGGTGGAAGTTCTGCCAGGCAGCGTCTTGCAGTCGGAGGGCAGCCAGGCCGACGGCCGGCCGACGGAAGATCGTCTGCCCGTTGCTCAGCGTTTATTTAAGGGATGCCAGCCAGGGCCACTTCAAACTCATCCAAACATCAGCTGGTGTAAAGGACCCCGCTTTCTTGTTGTTAGCTAGTAAGGATGCCCTTTCAGTGTCAAGCCAAGAGTTTGGACTGTTTCTGGCCAACCCACTCAGGATGTGATACACAGATTCCACTCAAGATGTGTGGTTTTGTTGGTTCCACGTGAATTTGCAACAGTCGGACAGGGTCTGAAGTTCCTGTCATGTGCCCCTGGTTTGTGTGGTGTCAGGCCATTGGGCAAGCGATGGGCTTGAATCGCCATTTCGGCTGCCTGCTGAGAAATTTCCTGGTGATCTTCCCCAAAAAAGGAGTCCCGCTCATTTCGTCCAGATCTTGAGGCCCGCGCAGTTCACTCTGCATAGATATGATAACCTCGCCATCTTGGTTAAGGGAACATGGCGTATAAGTTAACTGCGTATAACGAGGAGATTGAATAAACAGTTCAGGCTTGTTTTGGCCAATCCACTCGATCGGAAGTGAGAGGGGTGGTTTCCCAAACTGCAATTCTCCATCAAGAAGGTCTCTTCGCGCGGGAAATGGGCCAGTTTGGGAAACCGTTGTTTCCATGGTTGCTGTTTGCTTGTTGTGGTTTCGTGGAGAATCCAAATCCACTTGACTGCTAAAATTGAAATATATTTCAAGCTGTGCTCCCCTTCCAACGTCAACCTTCAGGTTCCTGCACCGATCAGGCAGCAACTTGGCTCGGGTTGCTTTTCCTTTCTCAGCCCTTTTTTGGTTGGGAGGGTTCCGAACCCTACTGAAATAGCCAAAAACGAAAAAGTTGGTACCCTGATTCTAACCTCTCTACTGGAGGACCCAGTTGTGGCTTCCTGGCCTGCGCTTTTACATGGCAAGGACGTGCCAGCGATAGGCCAGAGGCAGCTGGCAGGCCTTTTCCCCGTGACCTTTTTGGGCGGGTGACATGTGGCTGTGGTTGTCAAAAATAGGTATCCAAAATGGGTTGCCCTGGCAAATGGAAACATGGACCAAAACCGCCCATATCCCGGTGCCATCATTTTGGCCCGTGCCCATGTAAACCTCTTCCAGGACGGCATGGCGTTCAACGGATGTCTTCGGGGCCGGGCCCGGCCTTTGCCACAGAGTGGTGGGTAGCCGGTGTCCCATTTTTCCAGTCCTTTCTGGCGCAGCGATGTCTGCCCTTCCGGCCGTCACGACCACTTTTCTTTTCCACGTAGAGGCTTTGTCTCAGCTGTACCAGCTGATGTCAGGTTTAGTTGGACTCACCCATGACTAATCTGAGGGCAACTGGACTTCCTCTTTTCCCCGTAGGCCAATTGGTGTCCGTCCCGGCGGCCCTTGGAGTCAGGCGCTGGCGACGGAGACGGCCATGTACATTGCTTGGGATAAGGTGAAGCTTCAAGAGCCGCTGGGCCGCATGCAGGCGAGCGACTGGGCCTCGGATGTCCTACTCTCACTTCCTGGGTTCATGAACTTTAAAATCTTTTGGGTGTGGACCACTTTTAGGGGTAACTATACAGTTTTGGCTTTTTTTTGTTGTGCCTTAACACTCAGCAAGTGAGTGTTACCTTGAAGGGATGAGCGTAACTTACCAGGGTTCCTTGAAAGATACCGCTCGCATCATTTTGCGTAGCCATGCAACCATTTTGCAACCAGGTGCCCTTTCTCACCAACTTTTTTTTGGGGAGGAACCCCTCCCTGCTAAAACAGGGCTTCTTAAAAGATACATGTTGCCCATTTGAAACATGTTGCTCTTTCAACGCCAAAACTAAAGTTGGACACCGCCAGTTACGAGTTGCAATGCTCGGGTGTATAATGCATCCGGATCCCTGTTGAAGGTCGGCAGATGAGGGTAACTTGAGTTTTGGTTTGTTTCCCCCTGCTGATTGCTTCTGGACAAGATAGCCAGTCCAGTACATTTGGGCAAGCTGCAATGGCATCACAAAGGGTGTGCGACCTCACCCATGATGACCCTTATTTCGAGAATGTTAATCATCATCTTGGTGGCTCCCAGCCATCCGGTTCCTTAGCTTTTTAGATCCTTTTAGTGTTTAGTGGTAGTTTCCATTGAACCCACTAAAAGTTAGTCACTTTCAGCGGGAGATCAGAAAACGGGCGGCCCAGTCAAGTGTTCTGTGTTTAGTCATACTCTTATCAACATCATCGCATGTCATTTGGGCGCGCATGTGGGGAGCATCCTTTCGGCGCGCATGTGTTTGAGGATTTGATCACTTGCCCGGGGGCCACCCCGGGTATGTGTGAAAAGAGTGTCGCAAGGTAGAGGCCCTAGAAATTGAAATTCAAGCGATTCACATGGCACACTTTGGCCAGTCACTGCACCAGCCAGTTTATGCAGAATTCAAGCTAAGACAAGCCGGTTTACTTGCACAGTTTGCCACTGCTGGTTCTGTAGGCGGTCCGGAACAGTTGTTTTAGCCGCGGATCGTTCCAGGCCCTTTTCGGCCATAGCCACTTCCCAGCCCTTCTACTGAGCCGAACACCCCGGCAGGCCTCGTTTCATTGACCCACACCCATATGAATTTCATTGGCTTCCTCACCGGCCAGCACAACAACAACAGGATTGATCATTTGCAGGGGTCTTTGGGCTTGCATGGATGCCACGGATTAACGGGTACTGGTTCAAACTGTTGACGCCAGGCTTCCTTACCACCCCGAAAGCGATTGATGTGATTCAACGGGTTTGGTTACAGACAAATCTACAGGAAATGGCTCCAAAACACACTAAATCAGCTGTTTATTTTGTAGACTGTAACCCAACCCTTTGAGTGATGCCCGCCTGGATGCCGGATTGTTTTTGGGGGGTTCCATGTGAATCTGCACGAGGGAATCTGATTTTCGTGCCATATTGTGGCCCTTTTAAACCAGAGCCAGGCACCTGGGGGTGGAAGCGCAGACCCCTGGCCTTCCTCTTTCTTTTTTTAAGCCACAAGCAAAAACGATTCGGGTAGATGATCCGGTTAGTAAGGGACCATCCACTTGCCATAAATAGCTGCGGATATCCGCCTTCTTGATTCTTGAAGCGTGGTTCTGGGTAGTCCATTTTAGAACCGGGTTTTGATTGTGACTCTTTTGGCCAACCCGCTTTATGTCTCCCAAAGAGGGGTGTGAAGATCAGCGAGTCTTTTGGGGTCATTGACGCATGGGGTGTGTAAAAGAGGTATGTACAGCTTCATAGAGGGCACAAGGGGTGCTCAACCCTATGCCAAACCTGGAGCAGAAAGGGTACACCTGTCAGCCAGTTTTGGAACTGTTTGTTAGGAGGGGATGCCATCGAGTGCACATTCTTTTGCCAGAATATGCTTAGCCTGTGACCTCTGAAAACCTTGCTGGATGCCAATCCTTCCAGTTGCCCTGGCACTCAGTTGCCCTCTCCGTCCTTTTCCGGCTCAGGGCCAAAAGGGGGCCAGAAGGGAGGGCGGTCGAAAGCCATGTGATTGATCCTTCCTTCCTTTTCGCGGGAAGCGCATGCTGGCGTTGGCTTTGCAGGGCCACGCGCCAAAGGCGCTGAGCGCCCTCAGTGCTCACGATGCTTTTGGGAGGCCGAAGGCGGGGAGATCTGGGTCGTTGCCTACCTTGAGGACTGGCAGACGCCCGGCAAAAGTTGAGCCTGGAGGTCGTGAGTCGTTTTTGGCTTGGTCCTCCTGCCCACATGTGCTGAAACCTCTCTACTGGAGGACCTACTGTGGGTGGACGAAATCCTGCACCACTTTGAAACCATAGGAAACCATTGCTTGTTGGTCCACAGTAGCTGTTGATGAGTGACCTCTGAAATCCCCCCATTTCTGGTGGCATTTTCCCTCTAGGGTGACCCCGGCCCCCCCCCCCTTTAAGCCGAACGAAGCCCAAAAAGGGGCCCAAAACGACAACTCGTCCAACGGCGGCTTCTTTGCTTTGAGGCAAGCCGCGGGCAGCCTCCTCGGCAGCCGCCGCCTTGGTTCTGGCGCCCTGGCCGGCGAAGGAATTTGTCTTTATTTTTTTTGGGGGGGGATTTCCTTTGGTTCCCTAAATGGTTCTATGGGGGAACTTCCCCATTCTTTTCAGGGCTCCTTCTTTTCAGGAAACCATCAAAAACTTAAGGGAAACACTTGGTTTTTGAAAAGAACGATGGTTGAAAAGAATGGGGATTGAATTAACCCCTAGAATGCTGTCTTTACCAAAAAAAGGTGTCTGTTGGGGGATTTTCTTTGTCTTTACCACAATTGGTGAGTTTTCTTTTCAGTTCCCCTTTAAATCCAACAAAGAAAGGGTGGTACCCTAAAAGCTACAAGGCCAAATGGAGGGGACGCCCCAAAACAGAAGGGGAAGCCCTGAAGGCTGCGTTTTTCAGATTCCTGGGGGCTTTCATCAAAAACCGCCCCCAGGACGACCCGCCCTCCCAAAATGGTGTGTTGTCCTTTTGGTTCCCTTTCAAAGCCACCAAACAAAGGGTGGTAGTAGGACTCGTTTTTTGCCAACTAATGGGTTTTCCATTAAAACACTAAAAGTTAAACTTTTAGCAGGGGAGCAGAAAGCAACCAAGAAACGACAAGGCCAAATGGCTAACTGGGCTGACCTTCAAAGTTACGCTCACTTGCCCAAAGCGGGGCCCGACCTTTTGGCTTTCCCTTTTGGTCCATTTTGAGGCACCCCAAGGCAGTGGTATGGAGTAACGATTAGTTACTCGGACGCCCCAAAAGGTGATCACCTTTCGTTGGTGGGTCCTTGGGGCAACTGAGTACGGGAACCTGGGCTGTTTAAAGGCGATTCTTATTCCGTGCCTTGGGCTACGAAAGGAACCGGTCCTCTTTGAAGGTGTTGTGCAATGGGGATTATGGATAAGGATTGGTCAACACTCCATTTTGAACAGCCCAGGGAACTCAGGATTGACAAACTCCTGATTGAGATGTTACGGTCAAACGCTCTATGAATCCCCGTCAGGTTGACCAATACATGGTGAACAAGGGTACAGAACCCCAATGTATTTCCAGGGGCTCCTTTGGGGTTTGTTCTAGGGCTCTGTGGGGGAAATCGTTTGCTGGTTTCCTTGCCAACTTGTCGCAAAACTCTGAGACTACGTGGGGAAAATCGTCGGGGACTCCTAAACCACCCAGACATGTCCCGGAGTTTGAAGGTCCAGCTGCTTCTGCAGGCAACGCAACCAGGTCCCCCAGTAGTGCCCGTTTACCCTTTTTTGGGGGAGGGTTTAACCCTACTAAAACAGACTACAGAAAAAACAAGTTGGTACCCTTATTCTAACATCCTTCCTGGAGGACCTACATCAGGGTTAGTATGCCTAGGTAAGCCATGGTTATAAGTCGGGTTTATTCCAGCCATGGTTATAAGTCCTGAGCCATGGTTATAGTATCCTTATTCTGGACAACCCAGCTGTTGAGTGACCTCTGAAATTCCCCATTTCTGCTGGCATTTTCCCTCTTCTAGGGCCCTTCCAGCTTCTTCGAACCTCTCTCCTGGTTTGGAGCTGGCGCTAGGCAAGTCTCGAACCGGAGCCTCGGTGGAATCGGTCGCGCGGAGGCTCAGGCGCTTGAGGCGCCGGGCCCGGTGCTCTTCCGTCTGCGGCTGACGTGTCCGGAGGAGTTGGAGCTCCCAGAGGCGCGATGGATGAGCTGATGGTTGGACCAAAGGATCCCCCGTTTTTGTTTTTGTTTTTGTGGGGCTTCGAATCTTTCTCACCGATGACCTAGTTTAGGTTGCGACGTGTCAGAAATGCCGAGGAAGTTGAACCTAAAGCGTAGGTTGCCCTTTTGTGGTTGGGAGGGTTCCCCTACTAAAATAGACTACTGAAAAAGGGCACCCTTATTCTAACCTCTCTACTGGAGGACCTAGACTTTAGTTGAGGGTACCCTTTGTGGGGCTTGAGGTCGCACCCAATGCAAAACTAATTTCTTGGGAGTACCGATTCCGATTTCGACGAGGATTCAACGCTGAGGTTGCGGTTTCTCTTGCGGAGGGCGAGGTGAAGGAAAGCAGCCCCCAGAGGCGCACCCGTCAGCAAGCAAGCGCGAGCGGACGGGTTTTCGCGAACGACTCGGGGGGGAGGGAACCAGTGTTCCCAGTTGCCCAGTGGCCCCTTTTTCCCCTTTTTTTGGGAAGGGTTCCCTTGAAAATCAACTAACCAAAAAAGGATGCCCTTTTTTTCCCATTGCCACTGGGCATCTGAGTGTTGGAGGTTGCGTTACCAGTGTGGAAAAATGGAAAGGCGATGTGTGCATTTTAAGACTTTTTCCCTTGCCAAGGGGTGGCTTTCAACCGCCAGGATTCCGATTCCTTGGGTAGCTGCTGCATCGAAGTGATCACCCATCCAAGGGTCTTCAGGTGTTCGCGTTTGGGGCTCTCACTGTCATGGACCCAGGAAAGAGCCTGGCTGATAGCCGGTGGTGGCCCCACAAACGTTATAAGGACAGGCGTCCACGGCACTCATCACCAGTTCACATAGATGGTGCATGTGGAGGAAACCAACAGGGCTTCTGTGAGCCAAGAGATGGTCGACACAGAAGAGTAGAGCTTCTCACTTCCCGAGTTCCTGGACTGTATTTTTTTTTGGAAAGACCATTTTAGCGGTAAAAACAAAGGTCCAATCCACTCAGGATGTGAGACTTGGTTAGAGTTTTTCCTCATTGTTTGTTTACACCCAACCATCCTACAGGCAGCTCCTGGGATGAAAACAAAAAAAACAAAAAACAAAAACGACTCGATCACGCGGAGACCTCCCACATGGCTCAAAATAGGGATTCAGACGTCCAAAATGATTGGGATGGTTTCCCTTTAAAGCATGAAAGGGTACCCAACACACTGACACCAAACTGGGTGTTTCTCAAATCCCTCTTTCATACTGTTGTGTTTGGTTTTCGGAAAAAAGAAGTGGAAACTATTTCTGAATCTAATATCCCTCTTTCATATTGTTTGTTTTGTTTTCAGAACGCACCCCACAAAAAGAAGGAAACGGGAAAGACACCACACAACAACAAAACCACAGCCACTTGGCAGAATTGGTCCGACTTCTTAACACCGCCGCCGAATTTGGCCGCCAGGTCTCCTGGCTGCATGGAGGTCACCTACACCTTGCAGACGCCTCCCAATGCCCAGCCCCAGGGCCTGCTACGCCTGGGTGGGTCTTGGGCGCCGATATGTTTCGCGGCACCTCTCCGATCTCATTTTGTTTTTTTTCTTCTCCCGATTTTTGGGGCCGATGTCTGTTTAAAAGGCAAGGCCATGTGCTTAAGCTTTTGTTTTTGGCTTAATGTTTCCCAGCTGGTTTTAAAGGGAAGTCTGTCACTGCTGGAACTATGTTTTTTTTTTTGTTTTTTTGTCCAATAGGCTTAAGCAAGGGGAGGTGTTCGATGTGTTTAAGGGGCAGAGGTATGTTTAAAGGTCTCTCACTTTCTGAGTTTCGTTCCTGGACTTTAGTCACTCTTTGAGAATTTGGTCAAGTGTTTCCATCATCGTGACTCAGGAAGTGAGAGGTTGGACAAGCAATCGGAGTCTAGGTCCCCCAGTAGTGCCTTTTCTCACCCTTTTTTTGGGGAGGACTCCCCTACTAAAATAGACTGCAGAAAAAATCGGGTACACCTCTCCACTGGAGGACCTAGTTGTTTTGTTTTGGTTTCAGAACAGGAAAAAACACCGGAAAGACAAGTTTGGTTACTGCTTTGGGCCAGCCCAATCAGGAAGTGAGAGGCTTGCTAGGCTACCACAAATAAAAGGAGCTTGTACCTTGAGTTTCTTGGTGCCTGGGCCAAGGTACCACACGGCCGCAGCGCGGCTTATGTGGGCCACCCAGGGCGGACGCGGTATACGGCGCTGCTGACGGACTCCGCGGCCCGTTTTGGTGCCGAAATGCTCGTGTATTTGCGTGTACGTGTTCTTGGTGGCTCCCAGCCATCCCTCTAGCTTTTGAGCCTTTTAGTGTTTAGTGGTAGTTTCCATTGAACCCACTAAAAGTTAATCTTTTAGCGGGGGATCTGAGGGGTTGTGTGTGAAATACGAGTTGCCTTTTTTTTACAAGTCGTGCATGTGCCAGCGATCGATCTCTGCCAAGGTTTCATGCCGAGACATCTTGTAGAGGACGCTTTCATTTTTCGGCGCAGTCCAAGTTGTCAAAGCCGCGAATGGTTACTACCCTCCTCCATCCATTCCATAACCACTACTTTAACCCAAACCCCAACAAAAACCAAACAAAAACGACAAAAATCACTTCCTCAACCTATTCTTGACCATCAGACGGTCAAAACCCTAAGCAAAAATGAGCTGCTGAAACCGGGCAGCTCCAAACCGCGGAGCTCCGTTCGCGGTGACAAATTTTCGGCAGGACAGCTGGGACTGGCGCAGCGCGCCGAAGCCTTCGGAGGGCTGGGCGGCGGACCTGGAGCTGGGCCGAGGGCAGCTGCTTGGATCGGCCTGGATCTTCACAAAAAACTGTTGGGAGACTTGATCTTAGGTGGTTGGGAAGCTAGGTTTTGGAGGAACCCCCCCTACTCAAGTAGACTACAGAAAAAAGTTGGTGCCCTTATTCAAACCTCTCTGCTAGAGGACCTAGTGTAGGTTGGTGTCCCCTTTTGGTTTCCCACATAGGTTACAACCTATGTGGGATCCCAAAACAAGACACCAACCTAGAGGAAATCGGAGGAACTAGTCCTCCCTTCTTCAAGGGGCATTGAACTTAGTAAGTGGATAGTATGCCTGGTTATAACCCACATAGGGGACTCAACAAAAGCATGGTACACTTTACCGCCTACGAAGTACAACACCCCTTGACGTGAGGTATGACGAATAACGAGCTCAAACCGGGATAAAGGTCCTTTATTTGCAAGATCTTTGCCTTGACTTCTTTGAAGTGTTGGGGGTGTCTCTGGTTGAAATGTGGGGCATCATTACTTTTGGAGGGGAACACCCCTATATTTACAAACAGGGGTGCAGACCATTTTGGTGGCAAACAAAAAGTTAAGTTATTTCTGCCCATCCACTCAGGAAGTAAGGGCTTGAATGTTGACCCTGGGTTTCTACACGGAAAAAGGGGTGCTCCAAAAGTGATGAACCCCCACTACATTGGGGACACCCCCTTTTAGTCAACCGCTTTATTCCGGAATTTGTCCGGAGTCAAGATGATTAAGTGGGGAATACTTAGTCTCAACAAGTATTGTTGGATCTTTAGGCTTGAACATTTTGTTTCGAAACTAACCAAAACGTCCAAGAAAACCGCATAGACAAAAGCAAGACTAGCCCACAAGTGCGTTCTTGGAATGGTTACCCTCTCTCCCACTAAGCAACTGCGGGAGGGAACCTGGAAGATCAATTCCCTCTTGGAGGGGCCGGGTCCCTGTCAGGTGCCATGTTAGAAGGAAGGGTAGTTGAAGAGTCTCTCACTTGTTGGTTGTTGTTATTTGCACCCACGCACCAAGTGGCTTGGTGGCTCCCATCCATTTCCTTGGCTTTCCGCTTTTTGGTGTTTCAATGAAAGTTAAACTTTTACCGCAGGATCTGAGGGCTGGAACTTGTGTTTTGCCACGGGACCTATGCCAGGTTGAACCTTCAGCTGCGGAGGGCCACTCAGGCGGAGGCTTGCCGGGAGGGCGGAGGCTTGCCGGGAGGGAACCGGCGCCATTGGGGGTGGGAGCTACAGAAATTCGGTGGCGCCCTGGCCCTGTTTGGGAAAAACTCACCGAGGCTAAGTCCCCCAGCTAGGTGCCCTTTCTCAGCCCTTGTTTGGTTCAGGTACTAAAATGGAATTCAGACAAAAGGGTACCCTGATTCCAAGCTCTCTAGTGGAGGGCCTAGAAGGGTTTCCTTTCTTTCCTTTTTTGGAACCTGGAAAAGTCACCCAGCAAAATGCAACTTTTGAAGCTGGAATCCATTGACCCTTGTCACTCCTTGAGCTCGGACCTTGCCAGTCCACTCAGGAAGTGAGGAAACTAAAGGTTAACAACCGTCGGTTGATTATTTCTTCTACCTCAGCAAATGGGGAGGGAATGACCCCGAACTGAACCATCCAACTGGTGGTTTCCTTTTCCAGGGGATCCGCAGGGTCATTCCCAAACCTTAACCTGATTCCTGACTGGGAAGCTACTCCTCGAGAACACAGCGCTGCATTTGCGCAAGTATCTTGTTTTGGCGCAGCTTGGGTCCGCGCAGTTTATTTGTGCAGAGGCCATTTGGCGCCTTGGTGCATGTTATGTTGCCCCTTTTGTCTGTGACACTGGCAATGCTTGCCACATTAGATGCTGAGAGAGGCACATTGGACACCCTTTAATCGCCCAACAATTTTGGCATTGAACCCGGTGTGCTCGGGGCTTGCCGGTAGCAGGTGAAGCGCTGCTGCCAGCAGCAGGCCCTGAGGCGAGGTCTCAGCTCTCCGTGATGAAATTGCAATTTCGGTAATCTGATTTCCGCTGTGCGATGGCGCATATTGACCACAAGCAGCTTTGCCATTTACAAGCATGCCATGAATGATAGCTGGGTGCTGCGCAACTTATGCTTTCTTTCAATGTCTCAAGTCACGGCCCTCTAGCTGCCGCCCTTTGTGTGCGCGCGCTTGTGTGCGCGGCAACCATTTTTACTGGGTGGTTTGGGAGGGAGCCATGGAAGGGAGCTGGGGGTATCGAAATTTGCGGGATTTTGTGACAACACGCGGCCCCAAAATCCAAAATCGCTGTTCCGGATCCAAGCTGGGCAACTTGAATTTCCAGCACCCAATAAACGAAGCTCCAGAATCTTGACCCCGGATTTAGAAAGAACTTGTCTATGAATACGGGGGTGTTTCCCTCCAAAAGTGAATCCCCACTCAAACCAGAGACACCCCCCATAATTATGAATAAACATGGTTTGTATTCGTCCTGGGTCAACATTACAATGAAGTCAAGGCAGAGATCTTGCAAGTAAAGAAGTTAAGGACCATTTTTGCGGCAAACCTAAACAGTTCGGATTTCTTTCCGGGCCACTCCACTCGATCGGTGCTTTGGTGCATGTTGCTTGGATGTTAGGACTGTCACTTTTTGCCAACCAAAGGGTTTTCCATCAAACTACTAAAAGCTCGCAGAGGAGCGGAAGCCGAGGGTGAGCCAACCAACGGAGCGCTTTCGCCTCCAGGGAAGCGCTGGAGGGCAGCTACGACGAGCTCTTTGCGCAGGTGACCAAGGCTCGGCAGCAGGCGGTGGAGCTCGAGCACTTGGAGAAGGCGGAGCTCAGACCTCGGGGGGGAGGGCTGGGGCTTCCTTGGATCAGTGAAAGGCTCGGAGCCTCTCAGGTGAACCTTCTACTTCTAGAGGGTTCCCCTAAAATAGACTACGGAAAAAAAAGGGCACCCTTATTCTAAGGTTGGGGGGGAGGGTGGGAGGGAAGGTTTCTTGGGTGCTTCAGGGGTGCTTTTCTCGGGAGCTACAGAGAGTACTTGGGGGGGCGGGAGGTGTTTCTTGGGTTCTTAAGGACAGACTACTTGGGGGGGGGTTCTTGGGTTTCTTGGGCATCTGAAAAAGGCTCGCCTCTCTGCAGGTGAACCTTCTACTTAAAGGGGCGGGGTTCCTCAGGTAAGTAGTTAGCAAGTCTGGTTATAACCCGCTTGGGAGACTCAGAACCGTGGCTTTTGTGGGTTATAGCCAGGCTTACTGACCATTTACTAAGTACAATGCCCCTTTAAGTCTTCAAGTTAGCAAGCTGTTGATACACCTCCTAGATTAGATAACATTCCCTAAGCCCCAAAACAGTGAGTTGACCTTGTTACTAGTGGGCTTTTACACAGGTACCTAACCACTTACGAACTGGGCCGAGCATCCAAGCTGGAAAGTACCATTTCTCTCCCCGTTGCCATGGAATCTGAGTGAGGGCTTGCCGTTGGTGCCATTTGATCCCTTGGGTGCGGTTTTTTAAGGCGAAACCTAAGTGGGTTTGGCTTTGTTTAGGGAAGCCGCCTTCGATTGGTTCATAAGAGAAACTGGACACCAACAGGAAGCCACTCATTTTGAGAGTTCTGATTCCTAGTTTGTGACAAACACATTTCACTTTGGTGCGTGTTTTTTTTTCAGTTTTCGGTTGTCGATAGTCTTCCCCATAAAAAGGCGAACATGAGACCATCAACTGAATGTCAGGGGTCGAAATCCCCCCCGACAAGAGTGTCATTTGTAAGTGGGGATTGGGATGCTCACTGGGGGTACGATTTGGGTTTTGACCCATGGCCATCTGCATTTTGCTTGGATGTTAGGACTTCAACTTTTGCCAACTAATGTGTTTTCCATGAAACCACTTAAAAGTTATTAGCTTTTTAGCTATTTAGCGTTTAGTGGTAGTTTCCAGTGAGCCCACTAAAAGTTATTCACTTTTCGCAGGGGATCAGAAAACGGGCAGCCCAGATACATTTGGTGTGGAGTTTTTTGGGGGAGGCGGAGGAGAAGCTCAAGGCCATGCGGAAGCAGCGGCTGCATGTCGCGCCGAACTGCAGCAAGGAGGAGCTGCGACAGCTGATGGCCCCTGCGGCTGAAGGGGAATCGATTCACTCAGTCGCACTTGCCCAAAGCTGACCTTTTGACCTTTTGGTTTCCCATGTTTGGTCCATGTTTAGTAAAGGTCCCAAAAGGTTAGTTAATCTTTATTTCTGGGTCCTTTGGGCAACTGAGCAGTTGTTCACTTGCTTAAGTTTTTTTTTGTTTTTTTTTTGCCCTGTTTCAAAGGGAACCTACTGGACGAAATTTGTCCATCCACCGTATCACTACTTGACATATTTTCCCAATTCTTTTTCCAGGGGACGAACAAGAAATCTCAGTTCTTCAGTGGCGCCCGATGTTGTCTCTCTCTTTTTTTAGTGGCTGCCCCACAACAAATGGTCCAAGGCCCGAAAAGGCATCCCTGCTTTTTCCAGGGTCGCTGAACAACTGAGTTCAGGGAGTCTCCAAGGGAGGGGCCTGTTCGAATTCTTCCATTTGGGTATGGATCAGAATTAAGCCACCAGGACCGCAGGTTTTAGTCCTCCATTTACCGTGGTTCCAGGTTGGGTACCTATTTTTAACCCACACCCATTTGTTTAAGAATATGTTTTGTTTCCCCCTGGGTTTTGAGGGAATCAATCACTACTGGATTTTTTGTTTTTTTCAAGGGGCTAAAGCAAATGGAAGAATTCCCTGGGTGATTTTTTGCAGATCACCTGGAGCCCAAACCTGGGGCAGGCAAAAAAAGAGCTTATTCTACTTCTGCGTCATCTTTTTTCTTGGTGGCTCGATAGGCAGGGAATGAGAAAGGGAAAGGCCTGAATGTGAATCATTTAAGTGGTGGTTTTCGTTGTGGGGATCCCTGGGTTCGTTCCCACATTCCCTACTGACCCTACTGAGCACCAGAAACAAATGCATGGTCAAAGTTGCGCGTAGCAGGTGAGGCTTTCTGTTGTTCGATTACGGACATCTTAGAATATGTGGATGTGGCTCAAAATTAAACAGGAGGGGTTACGCAGGTTTTGGTCCATATTTCCACTTACCAAAGTTCCATTTTAGTACCGGATTTTTAAGCCACAACCATGTGGACATCTTGAAGTTAGTGCACTGGTCTGTTCCAGCTGTAACAGCCGGAGTGGTTCGGAGTTCGGAGCAGTGGGCGGGGCAAGTGTGCCGGGGGTGTGGGGAAGCTACCATAAATGCCCTGAACTTGGCATACCAGCCAGGATCGTTAGATACCAATGTATCTTATCCAGCACCTTATAGTACTTGGCCTTATGTCTAACCAACCAACCAAAGGGATCCAACACGGTCGGTCGGGCATCCCTGCCATGTACCCTTGCAACAGGCTGGGGATTTTCTTGCAAAGGGGGGGTTGGGGATATGATCGAACTTCAAGCCCCTGTTGAAGCGCAGTTCGCTTCTGCATGTTGCGAAAACAGCGGTCCGCAGGCATCAAAACGTGTCGGGCCCTTCCCTTAAAATGGTCTGCCTGCAAGCCACCAGGGGATTTTAGCGGGACGACGGCATGAAACCGAGGGCCCCTTTTTGGAGACCAAGGCGTTGCGCGATTTCTACATGTGATCTTAGTGGCATCCATATAGCTCCAACCGGTCAGGCCTGCCCAAAAAATCATAGAACGCAAGAAGTGGGCCGCCCACAAGGAGGTTTTGGTCAGCTGCTTCCAACTCAATCTGGGTCCTTAGTGCTTAGCTGGTGTCCTTCCTCGTCGGTCAGTCTGTTGAAAAAGAGCCACTACTCTTCCGTTTGCTGAAATGATGATTTTTCATTTTCCCCTGTTGGTGTTAAAAGGGAATCTATCACTGGACATATCGTTATTTTTCCCAGGGGTCTCAACCGAATGGAAGCACTAGTTTCGAGATGGCCGCTTATGTTAGCAGCACCATTTGTTTTTCCCAAGTGCCTGCCATCATCTTTCAGGTAATCCTTCATTGCTGGCTTGGATTGGAGGTTGGGGGATTTGAACCATGTCCTGGTTCTTGTAGAAGGTGCATGGGGTCGACCCCTCCTTTTCACCACCAAACCCCCGACTCGGCTCCAAGCCACCAAGCAATGAACACCCCCTTTCATAAACCCCTGTTTTATTAACCAGGCTCCCGCCTGCTGCCGCCGACCCTCGGCGCATTAAGGGAAAAGTCACAAGGACCGGTCCTGAAACACGTCCGCAAACCCGGGGACCACTTAGAAGATCCTCTACGACCACAAATAAGGATTAACGGAAAAGTCAGAAATAGGGCAGCTAGTCCGTTAATTACCGCTTGGGCCGGCTTGCGCCCAAGTCACTTCGAGTTGGCGCCTCTCCCGGGGTCGCCCTGAAACTGGCCCTCCCGAAGTTGCCCTGGACCGGTCGCCGGCAGGGACCGGGACTTGGGACCCTATCCAGGCTGGTCCCAGTCTGGCGCGGTTTGACTCGACGTCTTGGACTCTCTTCCAGGGATCCTCTACTACCACAAGGATTAACGGAAAAGTCAGACAGATGACAGCTCCGTCAATAACCGCACGGACCGGTTTGTGCCGAAGTCACGTTGAGCTGGTCCTAGAAACAAGGCTGTTGGTCCCCCTCAACTGGTCACAATCAGTGACGACCTGGGACCCTGTCCAGCGTCCTGGGTCCTGGGTGCCAGTCCGGAAAGGTCGCACCACAACAATTTGAAGTACCAGCGGTCACACCCAAAACCAGTCCCAGGACCGGTCCTGGAAGTCCTGGGACTGGTCCTGGGACCAGTCCGACCGGACCAGTCCCAGGACCAAACGGTTCTGGGATTAGTTTCAGGAGTCCCAGGACTGGTCCCGGGACTGCTCCCGGGACCGGTCCCCGGTCCTGGGACCGGTCAAGTAATCTGAAACAGCAGAACCAGGGTCCCAGGACCAGTCCCAGGACCGGTCCCAGGACTGGTCCCAGGACTGGTCCCAGGACCGGTCCCGGGACCGGTCCCAGGACCGGTCCTGGGAATCCACTTTTGACTATCATTGATTCCAATCACTTCCAGTTGCATCCCACGCCGGTCCGCTCTGCAGGAGGCTGGGACGGGAGGCAGAGGGTCGGCGGATTTCTGGGTTTTTCCCCACTTCTGTGACACAAGGGAAATTACCCCCCTGTATGTGGCAGGTTTGTGTTTGAGAAGCCCTTTTTGTTGTATCACAGAAGTGGGTTCCATTTCCCACAGCCCTGCTGCAAAAAAAAGAGCCGGTTCCAAAATGGGTTGCCCTGGCAAGTGGAAGCATGGGCCAACACCTGCGTACCCCCCTCCGAATATTGAAGCCACAGCCAAATGGCTTGGGCTCCCAAGCGCCCATCGTCCAAGGCTTGGGCTCGGGTGACACGGACCCCGGAGCCGGCTCCGCAAGCTTCGCTGTGCCCCACTGCGGGTTGCCCATGCGACCGGGCGGGACATGCGTCACGTTTTTGTTTGGGTGAGGGTTGTCATTTGCAGGTATGTTTCTGACTCTACTGCTGTTGGATTGGATCTTTAGACTTTATTTCTTGGGATACCCCTCATATTTCCTTTAACCTGCAAAAAGTTAAACGTTTCGCCGGGGGATCTACAGCAAAGGACTAAAGGTTCCCGTGTTGTGTTTCTTCGTTTTTCTTCTTCTTCTTCTTTCTTTTGCCCCCATACACCCCAAATACACCCCAGGACAACGTAAATAAGTTGGGTGAGGCGTGACTGCGAATTAATTGGAGGGGGGAGAGTCCAGGATGTAGCCGGGCAAGTCCGGTCAGGCTACCCCCTTGTGGGTCTTGAAGAGGGGCCCGACTTTCCCATTGAATTTCGGAAAGGTGTGAAGATTGAAACTTGTTGGACAAGGTCAGTTTCTCCTTCTGAATGCATGCTGGTTTTAACAAGGGGGGCAGCAGCACGTTTTTGTTGGGCGCCAGCCCTTAAGGACATGATGTTTTTTTTCCTAGCCCTGGTCCCCCCTTAGCCCTGGTTGGTTGGTTAGTTGGTTGGTTGGTTGGCTGGCTGGCTGGCTGGTTGGTTGGTTGGTTGGTGGGTTAGTCGGTCGGTCGGTTGGTTGGCTGGCGGGGTAGTCGCGCGTAGTCGGCCATTTTTCTCTTTTCTGTGCGACAAAATTCGGATGAAGGTTTGGGGATTTTCTCGACGCGATTATTGTTTGCAAGGAGTTGATGGCAGAGAGTTGCAAAGGTAGGGTTGCAGGCTAGTCATCACGTGTCAACCAGGTTGCTCGTGTCATGCCAGACTTGGATGCTGAGAAGCCCACCGCTGTCTAGTTTGTGGATTTCTGCAGGCATGCGCGGGCTGCATCCTGTGCACTGGCAACTAGGCGCGAATGCAGCTCATGGCAGGTTGGCAGCCGTAGCGCGCGTAGGCAACGCCTGCATTCCACATAGCCTCCGCGGCCGGATCCCTTTCGGTGCGCTCACTCAGGCATACGGTAGCACCACCCAAGCAAGCAGTCACAAAGCACGCGCTTGGAGAGCGCATTTTACCCCAAGCGTTTTCGTTGTTGCCAGCAGCGAAGCCGCGCCTGCGTACAAGATGGGGTTTGATATGCTGTCGGTGTTGCCGCGTGACAACACAGCAGCGCGTGCTGCTTTTGCAGTCCGAGAGCCGCAGCGCGTTAGGCCGTTTAACTGCATTGAACCAGTGTCCGAATAAGCCACCCAGCCAGCAGCAAGTGAAGAATCTCGTAAACAAATGTAAACCGGAAGCATAAATGCGCGGAAGCTACAGATGGAAGGCACCAATGGTCCAGGGATGATGTGGTGGCAGCCTGCAAAGCAGCTTGGGCGAAGGAAATGCTCGTTGCGGCTTTGCACAGCCAACAGCACGAATTTGTGCAGCTGCGGCGCAAGACCTTCCAATTGGACAGCGGGAAACTGGCATTCGGAGCAGTCCTAAGCACTTCAGCATTGTTGCGTGTCCCCGGAGGCTGGCCAACGCTGAGTACATCAAAATCGCAGCAGATGCCATTTACAAAGATATAGTGGGCAACTTTTGTGTGATCCCTTTCGGTGCGAGCACTCAGGCATACGGTAGCACCACCCAAGCAAGCAGTCACAAAGCACGCGCTTGGAGAGCGAAATTTTACCCCAAGCGTCTTCGCTGTTGCCAGCAGCGAAGCCGCGCCTGCGTGCAAGATGGGGTTTGATATGCTGTCGGTGTTGCCAACGTTCAGTGGCTCCCGGGTTGGCCACGCAGTGCGGCAAGTGCATGCTGATTGGTCAAGCGCAGTGGAGAGCGCAAGAAAGGCAAGCTTTTCCAAACAGTCTCTGTGCGGGAGACTTCTTATTCTTTCACACGTGGAAGGCTGTGCAAGAAGGCTTGTACCGGCACATGACTGGCAGACACGCAACGACAGCGCGCGGCAGAGATCCGAACGGCAATCGTAGCCAGCCGCACGCATTGCACCGCGCTGACAGAATTTCACCTCGTGATGGGGGCAAGAAGAGCGCCTACTTCTTTCGACTATCGTGGAAGCTGAGCGGCAGTATGGGGTCAGCAGCGTGCCAAATGCAGCCGCAGGCGTGTTGTGTGCTGCATGGTGGGCTGCGTACGCAAGGCTGCAGCCTGGATCTGCGAGCGGGACACAAGCTGTGGAGTCTTTTCACGGCAATGTGTGGCGCCCTGCGCTAGTTGATGACAAGGGTAAACCGTTGCGGCATTCGGACCCGGAAGTTTACTTCAAAGCTTTTGGCAAAGCTGCCAAAGCTTACGGCCGCCAGAATGACGTAGCTGGCGTGATGCCCGACCGACCAACCAGCAAGGACCCAGAGGTTCGCAACGGCGCGCTGCTGAGAGCGGCTGGGCGTAGCGCATCCGCAGACTTGTTTGCCAGAAAGGACCTTGTGCATGCCTGCAACATACCGGGCGCTGCGTGTGTGTACGTGATGCCCGAAACTTTGTTGCAGTGGCGTGAATCCCGCCCAGCAAGAGGCAGTGCGCAAGCGTCTGGGGAATACGTGGCGGCTGCAGGAGAAGACTTGCGATTGTCAACAACCGGCTGTTTTCCCTGGAGTTCCTTCTAGAGGTTTTCTAGAAAAATCCGGATCCCTGGAAAGAATGGTTGGAGGGCACATGGGATCGACCCCTCCATTTCACCACCCAACCAGCGATTCGGCTCCAAACCAAGCAAAGGGAGGCTGAGTGATGAGTTTGGCTGATTCTTTGGCATATAGGCGAAAATCTGGGCTGTTTCCCTTGGACCTACCACATAGGGAGGCCGTCATGAGTTATCAAGGTGAAAATCTGGGCTGGTGCCCTTTGAGGGGGTTTCCAAATGGAAACGAGAGCTCAGGCAACCAGAGCCTGGATGGCGAAGTGCTGAGCATCCAGCATGATGCCCTGAGCGACTTCGGCCCAGAGGCGGACAAGGCGAGCGGGTTCTATAAGCAGCGGGGGTGTTCCCTGATCAGCAAACCCTTGTGTTATTGGCCATCCCCCACTTGCAGTCTCCCCCATAAATAAGTAAATAAATAAATAAACAAAACATATATCATGTCCACTTCAAACATATTCCCTTTAAACCCAACAGGGGAAAACAAAACAACTTAAGCAAACGGAAGGCTAGGTTTTATCCTTGGAGAGTGGGACAGTGAGCAGTTGGAAGACAACCCCTCCCTTCCGATCGCGTGGATTGGCCCTACAAAAAGTCACCACGCGTTTTTAACACTGGAATGGTCCAACCCCAGCTGGTGACGATCGAGTCCAACACGGAACCCAAGAAGTGAGGCCAGAAACAATCCGAACCTTCCGTTGAGGGGGGTGGGGGTCCCCCAAATCCATTTGTCGATAGTCAAAGGCAAGAATGAGACCATCAACGGAATTTCAAGGGTCGAAATCCCCGCCCCCCCCAACAAGAAATATGTTTTTACGGGGCCTGGTGGGGATTTTTATGTTAATCGCTAGAAACCAGAGGAACCCGGCCCTTAGCGTTGCTGAAATTTGCTGGGATGGTTGTTCTTGAGAATCATTCCAATTCTCACGCCCTACTTATCGCAACAGAAAGATAATTGCCCTGCCCCTTCAAGTAGGAGGGTTCCTTCAGGAGCTTAGGGAACCCCAGTACACCACCCCCGCCCCCCCGATGAGGGACTTATAGCCATCGTGAGCGGGCTAAGGAGGCTACTAATGACTTACTACGTAGCCGATCTCCCTTGTAAAATTTTGGGTTCCTTAGGGTTCCTTAGGCTAGCTCCCACTGGACTACCCCCTTTTCGGGACTCCATAGTTGCTCAGTTCTCCAGGGCCAACCTTTAGACCGTTGGTTTCCCTTTGGGTCAATTTTTATGGCCCCAAAAAGGTTAACATTTTAGTTTGACTGTTTCGAGGGGTTAACAAGTCAGAAACGGGGGGGGTTTCCCCCTAGCCCACCACTGAACGGGGGTGCCTTTGATAGTGGTAAAATAATGGGGTCGGTAGCAGATACTGTGGATGGACGACATACTGCACCACCTAAAAACCCTGGGGTGATGCTTCCCCTGTAAATACCAACGAACGTTCTGGTTTGCTATGGTTCAAATTGCGAAATGGATTTCGTCCATCCACGGTATTAATAAACTGGGGCCTATTCATCCGGGTCAAGACTTTCGGCTACGCTTTGAGCGCTGCATGGGGCCCCGCCTCACTGGAGCCGCCCCTTCAAATAGCCTTAGCCACTCCGAGAAAAAGAGATTGCCCTGGTTTACTTGGTGGTTTTTCCTCATCTACTAGCCCGAAAAGGACACCTATGGAAGCTACCGCATCACCTCTCCAAATTTCTACACTCCAACAGGAAACCCACCATGGAAAGCTCATCCCTGTTAAGGAAGCCTTCATTGGACCACCTGCATCCAAAGACGCCTCACCACCTGCATCCTTACGGAGTGAGGGAAGCCCCTTGGATTGGGGGTTTGAACCCCTGGTGGTTGTTGTTGAGGGTAAATGGGCAAGCCCAAGCGACGAGGGATGAAATTTGTTGTTTCCAGAGACGCCCGTCGCCCTTCAGGAGAACCCCCTCCCCCACGAAATGCCTCTCCGGATCCCAGATTGGCTTCTGGAATCCCTCACAGGTGCGGGTTCCTTAGGGATCCATACTGTGGATGGACGGAATCCTGCACCACCTAAAACACCCTGGCGTGATGCTTCCCCTGTAAATACCAACAAGCAATGGTTTCCTATGGTTTCAAAGTGGCGCGAAATGGATTTCGTCCACCCACAACAGCAAAAAATACCATTAAACCACCTGCACCCAAAGACGCCTTGGGCCTTGAGGAGATGTTCGAGATGCTGGTGGAGGCGGCAATCAGCTCTGAGGAGGGCGCTGTGTGGCCGGCGGGGGGCAAGCTCATCTTCTCCGCCTTCGACCGGAACCAGTCTGTGAACGCCCTCGTGCGCGCCTTCTCCTCACGATTCATTCCACCGGGGCGGTGTTTTCTGTGTGTTTTTTTGGCCCCCTTGCGGGGCTGGCAAGAAGTGGATGTGATTTGTCGTCCAGAAAGGGTCCACCGAGGCGGATGTTTGATGTTTCCTCGTTTTTTTTTCCCCATTACGGCTGGCAAGAATTGGGTGTGTTGTGTTCTTTCTGTTTTTTGTGTCTGTGTTGTCCTTTTTGCTTCCGGGCAAGCAAGCCAAGCTTGACATATATGCTCACGCGCTTCTTCCCAGCGGACGGAACTAAACGCACACGGAGGTCCCCCCCCCGGTCGCGCCTTTCGCCCCGCCCCGCGCCGAGCCGCGCAGAGCCACGCCGAACCCGAGGCACGTTGGAGACCGCCGGCCAGCGGCGCTGCGCGGAGATGCTGCTGGCGCTGGCAAAAGCCGCCGGCGAAAGCGCCGGGGGCTTTGTGTCGGCGGCGCAGGCGCGCGGGCGGGGACTTGGGCGATGTGGGCCGCGAGTTGGTGGATTTTTTCTCGCCGGGGGGTTTGTTTGCTGAGTTGCTCCCTGAGTCCCGTTTCCGGGACTCCGTCACTTTGTGGGAGTTCGGGGCAAAGTTTGGGAGCTTTTAGGAGGAAGCTAGACGGGGAATGAATCATGATGTTGAGTTGGTACCCTTTGTGGGGGACTCGGGACAGAGTGTTTGCTTAGCACGGACTCTCGCGTATAACCGCTTCTGGTTCCAGAGCACGCCCCTGTGGGTCGGCTACTTCGTAAGTGATGCGCACTTCTCCTGCCTTCGTTACTCCATATGTTGGGCTAGCAGCCAAGCAGGTCCCGCAAGGTTTGTCGTTGAGTTGGTAATGTTGACCCAGGATCAATAAACCCGTCCCATTATTCGGGGGAATCCGTTCCCTCCAAAAAAAAACTGAATCCCCCACTAAAAGGAATTGGACCCCCCCGCTCAAAATCAACCCAGGGTTCTGCTTAATGTTAACCCCGGATTAATAAACCCCTGGTTGAGTTTGATCGGGGGGTGTCCCCTTTTAGTGGTTGGATTCAGACCACTTTTGGAGGGAACAGCCCCCTAATCAGGGGACGGGTTCTGCTTAATCCGGGGTTAGCCTTCCCCTTTTTTGGGGCTTGGACTTCCCCGAGTTCCGCTGCCCGGGCTGGATCGTCACTTAGGAAGGAATTCGGGGCCCGCTCCCCGCGGCCCCGCAGGACTGGATCCGATTGTTACGTCGCTCCTTCGAGCCCAAATCCAATCCAAGTTTTCGCGCCACTCAAACAGGAAACTCGCCCTCGCCAGAAAAAAAGGAAAAAAACAACAAAAAAAACGCCCCTGCGTTGCCCAACAGAAGCTCAGGCTTGCTTTTGAACAACCGGGGATGTGTGGAATGAGGTTTCTCGAGCTTGCTTGGGGGAACCCTCAAATTGGTGGTTTCCCTTTGGCTTCCCTTCAAACCAACCAACCAACCCCACCAACCGCAAAAAAAAGGTACCAACATAACCAAAAAACACACAATCATTGTTCCTTCCTTGTCTCACTTCCTGAGTACATTCGCCCTGCAACAACCCCCCCCCCCAACAGCTGATTTCATTTGCCATCAAGGGGCCGGGTACTTGGTAGGTTCGTAAGCCAAGCGGATTCCGAACTACCAGCCCTTTAAGTTGAAAGCTCGCCCGTCGCGATGCGGGCGCGCCTGCCCAAATCCCATTTTGGCCCGCGTGGCCGGGCGAGTCCGGTCGCTGAGGGTCGACTGGATAAGCATTCTTGGACTAGGTGGCCTTCAGTACGGCGCGTTGGCCGATGGGCCTTTTTTGCAGGGTTGGGATTACGTATTACTTTTATTCTAAAAAAGGAACAGACTTTGGCACCGGACAGATTGCTTGGAGGTGAATTTCCACGTGGACGGGAGCTCCTTCCACGACCAGCACCGGGACGTCTACTCGGCGAAGCAGCGCGCGGGGCCCAACTGCGCCTGCTCCTTCAGGGAGTGCGTGGGCACACTGTGCTACTCGCTGGGCTCCAGCAGGCGAGACAAAGCGCAGCGAACGAGAACGGGAACGGGAACGGACGGAAGAAAACAAAACAACGACACGGTCATAGGGGGAAAAAAAATCGACAACAACAGGGTCATAGGTGTCAAAAAAATAGGTGAGTGTGGTTACAAATAGAAGGCGCTGGTTTAGATGGGTTTTATTCCATCTACCAGGGCCGTCTATTTTTCCAAAAGGACACCTATAAACACTGTGCTTCTATTTGCTGAAATGAATGTTTTGTTGTTGGTTTTAACTGGAACTACCTTCGTTTTGTTCAGTGGTCTTAGGTGTCAGGGTTCCCATGCTTTTTGACCGGTATCCAAAATGGCTTTTGCTCTTTCGCCAGTGAATCTTGAGCAAATGTCGAAATGGAACCGCCAACCAATGGACCCAGTGTCGGGGTCCCATGCTTTGACTAGCCTAAGGCAGACATAAACCCAGTGCTTTCCCTGTTCGAGAAATCAACCACGTGCCACTGGGTGCATTTCTGTGGTGCATCTCGCTTGGATGTTAGGACTTTGACATTTTGCCATCTAATGGGGTTTCCATTAAACCACTAAGGTTTTTTTAGCAGGGGAGCAGAAAGCACGGAGATTTGTTGGTGGTTGCATTTGGACAGGTTCTCAATATTACCCGGAAATAGTTTCCCTTTGGCCTGCCATGGAGAGTACCGCTGCGTCCCTTAGTTAGTGATTGCATTTTGAAGGCAGTGGTGTGTTAGGGCAGCTTGGATGAAAATAGATGGCACAGGTTGCGGTTGGTTGTACTCATTGACCTGTGCCATCGGTTCTTCAGAAAAAGACACCTATGTCTGAAGATTTAACGGGTGGTCCACGAGCCCAGGAATGAATGCTATCCACGCCTTGTTTGTGTGCTTTAGATGTTGATGTCGAAGGGTTTCCACTACTCAAGGCCATAACTCCCAGACTGTAGATACCATTTTGCAGAGTGGCCATATACAGGAAGTATAACCTGCCAATTCTCCCTGCATTTGCTTGGGAATGTGTTTTATTCTCTCTTGTTGGTTTTAAAGAAACCTATCACTGCTGGCAATATGTTCATTTTCCACGGGGCTTAAGAAAATTGAAGAAATGTGACAAGCGGCTTGTGATCCATTGCTTGGCGCTGGTTTGTAGGGGAGTTGCTTTGAAGGAACAATGAAGGCCAGGATGTTCCGCTCAAAAACGAAGTTCTTGAACGATGTCGCCTCAAAACTTACCTCTTAACAACACAACTTTTTGGGTAACATGGGCTATATGTCTGTAAAAGATTAACTTCCCCAGGGCTTGGAGTTTTAAGGGGTAAGAAAAGCATCACCAACTTCAGATGAGCCTTTACCGGGCTGCTTCTTTCGTTGGGGGAATGGAGTTGGTCGAGCTTTTTGGAGACCAAGTGGTGCGGTTCTCCGGGTTCGTCCGAAGTGAATGGCCGTGGGATGTGACTGGGCCCATTGTTTTTTTTGTTTTGTTTTTTGTCTTAAAACAAATTAGAATGATCAAAGTCACCGCCTAAGTGGTGGGTTAAAGGGAAACAGCCCCCATTTTCTGACTTTGATAACCCCCAGAAACCGTCAAAAAAATGACCCCTGTGTTACTCAGAATCATGGCTTGGAGCTGGCTTCACCTCCACGCCCCAGCGGCTCAAGCCACCTCCAATCCAACCCAAGCACGGGGTCAAGCGCTCGCAGCAAAGCACCAGGAGGTTCTGGAGTTCAGATGGGTATGGGTCAAAATTAGACCACTAAGGGACCGCAGGTTTCAGTCCTTGGTTCCATTTACCAGGGTTGCATTTTGGGTACCTACGTTTTACCCACAGCCAGATGGTTCGACACAAGCACCAGGGGTTCTTCCGCTTAAGAATAGTTGCTATTTTCCCCTGTTGGTTTTAAAGGGAATTTATCACTACTGGACATGTTTTTGGTTTTTTTCCTGGGGTCTTAAACCAAATGGACGTTTCCATTGTGCGATGGCGCATATTGGGCCCGTAAGCAACCTTGCCATTTACAAGCATGCCATGAATGATAGCTGGGTGCTGAGCAACTTATGCTGACACAAGCACCAGGAGTTGTTTTTCGCCCGCTGAAACCTCGCAGGCTCTGCCGGCTGCGCAGCATGGTGGACGACTTGTCGTTTCTGCGGCCCTGCGGCGAGACGTGTCGGGGCTATCAGGAGGACAGGTGGCTCCATAGCGGGGATGCCATGTTCTTCAATGCCCTGTGGAACCTCGGCCTCCGGATTCCGCGAGCCGTACCTGGGTTTTCTGCTTTTGTTTGTTTGGTTTTGGATTTTCAAAAGAAGCCATCCCTTTTGTTCGTTTTGTTTTGTTTGTTTCAATAAAGGGAACTGTTTTTGTTTTGTTTTGTTTGTTTCAATAAAGGGAACCCCACAAGAACGTTAGCTGCTTTTTATTTTGGCCCTCGCTTCCTGAGTTCCGTGTCGGACTTTAGTGACTTGTTTAGGGTTTGGATCAGTTTAGTGGTAAATAGAGAAAGTGAGATACCCTTGCCTTTTCTTTCTTTAAACCAACCCCAACAAAGGCATCGGACTGAATAGGGTTTGAGAGTTTAGGGAGATGCCTGGCATGTCCAACACAACAATTGTTACTTTTTGGAGGTCAGAACCAGAACCACGACAACCAGAGCCACTAAGGAACCAGAACCACACCCATGGCATACCCAAGATGCCCGGGGCTGGGCCCAGAATATCTGTGGCCTTCTTGCTGGGCGCGTCTTGACGCGCGTTGTCTGGCTATCTGGCTGTGGCTCAAATAAGTGTACCAAAATGGCCCCCTTCATAAATGGAACCAAGGACTAAAAGCTGCGTACCCCTAGCTCTTTAGTTTTGAGCCACGCCCATTTGAGCAATCTGTGCTGGGGGCTTCTCCGGCCTTGAGGCTGGGGGCCCTTTGGCCTGCCGGCTGGCGTGCTTGCTCGCTTTCACCCGTGTGGGCTAAGCCCCGGGCGGACAGTTCTCACCGGAAGGCAAAAGCTGGAGACGGAGACACGTCAGCCACTTGCTCCAAACCGATTCGGGTAGATGATCCGGTTAGGAAGGGGCAGTCCCAGCCGGAAATAGTTGCGGCCGCCTGTCCTTCCAGTTGCTTCAGACTAGTTTGTTTTTTTATTTTCCCCTGCTGGTTTTGAAGGGAATCTATCACTTTCCAGGGGTCTGAACCGAATGGAGGTGTCTAATTCTTTACATGGTGGGTCAACCATCTTGCTACCGGGTTTTGAGCAAGTGACTCGCGTGCTGGTGGAGAAATTTAGAAGTTCTGCTTCCCGGCCACCACCAGGCAGGGCAGGGCCTGCCTGGGTTCCCCGAAGCAGCTGATCAATGTACAGAGGTGGAAACCCCCCGAAAACGATCCCCACTTTGGAGGGTCCAAGAAGGGAAACGGAGCAGTGATCAGAATCCAACTCTTTAGGGGTCAAGACGTCGCAACTTGTGCAAAGGAAGGGCAAAACCTGAGAGTCCGATTGAACGAGCTGAAAGCTGGGGAGTTGGCAATCAGCGATTGGTGCTGATGATTTCATCCTGTTCTTCACCTCCCAACTGAAACTTTCCCTTTTGGGAAGATAGACTTAAGGGAGGGGGCCTCTGATTCCTGTTCCGACTCCGGCGCTTCTGACCAAGCGTCACCCTCTGATTCGGTCCCGACTCCGGCGCCTGACTCGTCACTGGGTCACTGGGCAAGGTACATTGCTCACGTCAAGGACCAGAAGGTGATTGCCTTAGTGCAGGAGCTGTTCAAGGCTCGGCTGCAGCCAACGGCAAATCCCAATTTGCTTCACCCCTTGCTTCAGGCGTTGGGGAATTGTGGTACGATCAGCTGGGATCTTTCTGCATGTGATCAATCAAGCGCGGGCAGGCTAATGAACCAAGCCGAAAAGTCGCAACCGGCCCAGGGTTGGAGCAACACCTGCTTAACTGCTGGATTGCTGGGTTGCTGCTTAATTCAACAAACCGTTTGGCCAGTAGGTTTCTCGTCACCAGAGGAAAAAACACTTAAAATCTGAAAAACCTAGCGAAGAGCAGTATGAGCATGCTTCCCAGTTAGCTGACCACTAAATTTGCTTTAATTTGAAGAATGGCAAGGAGCGTGACATCAAGTTTGGGCAGGGTGCTATTGCGCGAGTGGCCAAGACTGTGGGTAGGGAACTGTTGGGTTTTGCAACGCGTTTTGGTTGTTTCCTTCGTTGCCGCGCGAGAGAAACACTTACTTTCAAGGTTGTCAGCTTGTGTCTTTACACAAACTTGTTACACAAACTTTCTGTGCCGCGCGAAACAGCTGCTGTTGGAGCTCTTTGGGGCCTAGTGCAATGTTTCGGAGGGGCGCCTGTTTTGAGACTAAGGGGAAAAAGGGCAACCACCAATCTGGGGGTGATTCCCTTAGCGAGCAGAAGCCCTCAGCTGCCTTCTGTTGTGTTTTATTTGCTTCTTGGGGAATCTGAGCTGATGTCTGGGCATGTTCGCCTGGCTCTTCTGTGGGGAAGCCCACAAAAACCTCAGGACACTCATGGGATGCCCTGCAAAACACCCACGTTGGATTTACCCGCGAAAGCAGCGTGTGAACGATGCCTTGGTGCCCTCAAGGGGCTGCGGTCGTTTCAATGGCAAGAAAGACCGGCAGGGAAACCCTGGAAAACCCGGGTTGCCGTCATGCAGGGGCGCCCGTTCTTTGGCACCCCTGCCAGAGGCTGAGGGTTGTTAAATGACATTCTTCATGCATTTCTCACTGCTTCTTTGTTCAAGGCATCCCGGTGTTGTTGTGAAAAGCCTTCATTTGGGATAATTCAGGTATGCATCCAAAAAGGTAGCTCGAAAAAATGAGACGCCGACTCATGGGTGTTCCTGTTGGTTTCCTTGTTTTCCACCAACCCCAAGAAGCGAAATAAAAAGGGCGCCGACTCTTGAAAAATGACACAACTGAACCATTTCCTGGTTCTTGTAGAGGGTAGATGGCGTCGACGGGGCCTGGTCTGCTACGTCAGAACCTGCTTGCAAGTTGTGTTTTGGCTTGCAGGAAGCCCAACGGAAGCCGCCGGAACCCCTCCTTTTCACCACCAAGCCACCGATTCGGCTCCAAGCCACCAAATAAAAGTGACCTGGATCGCCAGTTGCTGTTGTTTTCCATGCACTTTACCCCCAAAACCAGCAACAGTGACTGAAAAAAGCAGCAACTTGGCTATCTAGGGAGAAACTTTTAGCAGGGGAGCAGAAAGCAACCAAGAATAGAGGGAAGCTGACACCCTCGCGGAGGAGTCCAACTGCGGATCGCCGCCGAGCAAGGCGTGGCAATGGAAGTCGGTGGGGGGGTCCAAAAGCGGCGCGTGCGCGCGCGCGCGTTTCCAGAGCTTTGTTTCCTTTTTTTTATTTTGTGGTAAGGGTATGTGGTTCCTGGACTGATCACTTTCGGCCCTGCAATTTTTTTGAAGGGAGCCGTCCTCCGAAGCAAAGGGAAAACGGGCACTCACTCCCTGGTTGGACTTTGTCACTTTTTGGTGACCGGTCACAGCTGGCCAAGGCGCAGCAAGACTCCGACGAGCCGGGCTGGCTATCACCCGTGCGTGCCTGGGCTTCGGGGGAGAGGCCGTTTCTCGCCGGCGGTTTTGGGACTAGCCTGGGCCAATGGCTATGTTTTGCTCACCTCAAAACTTCACCAGAATTGGCTCCCCTTTTTGCTTTTTTCCATTTTTGGGGTTTCCTTTGTTTTCCACTAACCAGGCAAAAAAGAACATTTGTTGCTGGGGTCCTAATTCCAGCCAAGAAAAGGGAGTTGATTTACATGAACCCCCGCCCAAATGCCGTCCACCAGCGTGTCCGGGATCCAGTAAAATGCACGCCCAAACTGCATTCTGCGACCTCACGTCCGAAGGATCGGTGCATTTGGGACAATTTGTTGGAAGGAGCATCATCTTCGCATTAGCTTGGGTCTCCATGTTTTTAACTCCTTATCTCAGATGGGTCAGGCATTATGATGTTCTCAGAGCTGAGGGTGTATTTTGTTGAAGCAGGGTCTCATTGCAAAGGTAGAACTGCTGGTGTGTTTCCTGATTTTGCTAGCGCATCGGCCAACGAGCACCTGGTTTCGGACGCTGCGCGGGACAGGACGTGTCAAGGGAGTTTCGCCCGTTCCTTACTTTGTTGTTGCCCAGTGGCGCCCGTTTTTCCTTTTTTTGGTGGAAGGGTTCTCCTTTCAACTCAACCAACCAGAAAAGGATGCCCTTGTTATCCACTGGGCATCCGCGTCGGTTTTGGATTGGTGTTGCAGGCAGGTGGGTATGGTTTTGGGTCTTGGTTCTTGGTGCAGGGTGTGGATTTCAAGTGAAATTGGACCCTTTGGTGGATGGGAGTCATGTAAAAGAAACGTTTTCCAGGGCGTTCTTTACACATTGCCACATATGTTTGGCGGATGTATCATCACTTCTAGCTGGTGATTGGAAGGGAGACACACTCCGAGCTAGGACCTGGTCTCTAAATTTGCTTTTATGTAGTGTTGACCTCATATATTTTCACCAACCCCAGTTGATTACGGGGGTGTCCCTGAATAATTTGTGGGGAATCAGAGCACAAAATTGGAGGGCCCCCCACCCCCACAATTTCATAAGCTGGTTGGTTGATGAATATATATATATATATACATAATTATATATATATATATATCAAGGTTAGTAAGGAACCATATTTTCATAAGCTGGTTGGTTGGTTCATGGGGGGGTCAGCATTGGAGGGAGTCTTTCGGAGTAGACTTGGCCTGTTCCAACTCACCGATCATGGGGGGGAAATCCCGGAAGAAATTGCAACGCGCGTTTTTCTCGAAACCAAAGACGCAACGGAGCAGCGAGAGAGAGAGAGAGAGAGGAAGAGTTGCCAGACAAGAACATGGTCCCATTGGCAGCTTCATTTGCTTGTGTATCGATCCATGCTCTCTTGTTTGGGGTCCCTTGAGTCAAAGTAGCAGGGCTCCTGCAGCGTTGTTCTGTCGCGGCAAGAAAGCGGCGCGCTCCGGCGCTCCTTTTCAGAACCCTAGTTGTTCAATGGAACCCTCCTTCCTCATTTTTTGGAGACCCTTGTCGGTTCCCCCAGGCTCTTTTGAGTGAAAGTTGATGGCGTAATTCCATACACAAATCCTTACATCCCCTGTACTTCCCCACATTTGCCGGGAATTGTGCCCTACTTTCACCTGTGAAATGGCCGACCCGGCTCAATCAGGGCGGTCCAGAACCCTAGTTGTCCAATGGAACCCTTTCCTTGACTGCTATCGGGTTGGATCTTTTCACTTTCACTTTTTGGTTGAAATCAAGGGGTGTTCCAAACTAATGAAACCCGCAAAAAGCAAAAACAAAGCTGTTTGCAGAGGGCTCCAAAGCAACCGTGGGTTTCGTTCTGGTTGTTTTGGAGCGTCGTGGGTTCGGTCCCGGTCAAAGCCGGCTCACCCGGGTTCAGTGCCGGAACCCGGCCACAGGCTCGGCGCTCATGCTGCAGGCCAAGCGCAAAGGCGCTAGGGCTCAGTCGAAAGCCTGTGTGCGAATCGACCGGCTCTGAGCTTTTGGTTGTCCCTTTTTGACGTTTTGAGTTCCCATTGTTCGTGGCCCCAAAAGGTGACCACCTCTTATTTGTATAGGTGCTTTGGGCTGAGAATGCCGCGAAAAAGCCAATCCTTGTCGACCTTGAGCGGGCGGGGGGGGGGGGGGTCCCAATACCTTTAGACGGAATGTGGATCAACCCAAACTTTGGTGCATGTTGCTTGGATGTTAGAACTTCTTATTATTTTTTGCCAACTACT